CAACATATTGACATTGTCACAACATTTTCTAGTCAGCCACAATGTTGTTAAGTCTTCATTTGGCAGCTTCTCTCACACAGATTGATATATGTAATTAATTTGAGTAAGTAACTAGAATATTAAGTCATTAATTTGATTTTAAAAATGGACAGCCCTTGAAAAGCACTAAAAGCATTAAATAACAATCATTCAGCCATCTGTAATATCCAAAGACAAGCAAGGCTTTTCAGAAACCCACAACACGAGGTTAAAATGTCCACAAGAGACGTTTTAGTGTTGCATTAGAAATCGCTGGAGTAACATTGAGAAACTGTTGGAATTTCTATAGCCTATTAATCTAGGATAAAGGTAGAATGTTTAGTAGAAACACTAAATTGAAGCGCACAGGCTGGATATTTCCCAGTCAATGAGATGTGTCCTCCTGGGGGACTTTAGCATTAAGTCAAGTTTGTTTTCGTGGTAACTAGTTTGAAGAAACTTTCCGCTGATGTTCTGCAGGGAATTCTCTACTCTGGAAGTTCAAACTCTTTATCACAGGAGCAGCGGAGCGAGGCGTCGGGATGAGACGGATGGATTTATGCGTACAATCATCAACAAACACTAAACAACGACTAAACTCAGGTCCGTTTTTAGGTTGCAGTGTTGCCACGCTAAAGAAGCCTGCACTAAACTGCCCTTCTGGTCTTGTGTGGCTTCTTATAATGAGAGAGTAATTAAAGTGCATCGGCCATTTTATCCACAAAGGTAGAACAACTACCAAGAAATTCAAGATTTGACTGTTTTCGACAGATGCAAAATAAAACTCAATTTTGGAGACGTACAGAAAGCAGCTAAATAACTACAGAGTGGCTTAATAAAATAGATTTGAAAAAGACAAACATATAGATAAAATAAACGAACGTCTGAACGAACAACAGACAGAACGCTAGACAGATAGAACAAACAGACTAATGATAGATGGACAAATAGAAAAATAGATATAGAATGAACTAATAACAGGAATAACGACAGATAGAATGCTAGATAGAACAATAGAACAAACAATATCTAGAATTAATGAACGTTAGAAAAAATAATAGATAGAAAGACTATAAACAAACATCAGACAGAACGCTAGAACAAGCGACAGAGTGGTAGAGCAAACAATAGATAAAACGATAGAATGAATTAATGAAAGAACGAATTAATGAACAGAGTACTAGAAAAAACAAATGATAGCTAAAATGAGTACTAAAATGAACAAATGAAGACAAGAATGAACGACAGCTAAAACTAAACTAACTGATAGACACAGATAAAAAGATCAAAAACATGAAAAGATAGAACAAACAGTAGACAGCTAAAATGATCGCTTTCTATCTATCGATAATGACCAGCCGACCGATCGGTAGACAGACAGAAAGACAACACTAGAAAGAAAGATGGCAGATAGCTAGCATGAGAACTAGAATAAACAAATGATAGCTAAAATGATTACTAAAATGAACAAATGAAGACAATGAACGACAGCTAAAATTAGCTAAAACAATGACCGATAACTAGAACAAATATCCGATATATTGAAAGACAGACAACACTAGAAATGCTAGAAAGCACACAACAGCAGATAGCTAGAATGCTAGCTAAAATGAATGAACAATAGCTAGCACAAACGACTGATAGCTAGAACACGCAAACGTTAGCTAGAATGAGAACTAGAACGAATGACCAAGAGCTACAAAGAATGACAGCTAGAACGAACAACCGATAACTAGAACAAACAGCCAGCTAGAATGAGAGCTAGAATGAACAGCTGATGCTAGAACAGCCGATAGCTAGAATGACGGATGGTTATGAGTGGTAGAACGAATAGCTGATGCTACAATGAGCTCAAACGAACAGCCGATAGCTAGAATAAGAGCTAGAATGAATGACTTATCTAAAGAATAAAAATATAAAAAGATAGAACAAATGGCACATAAAGCAAACAACAGATAGACGATAGACAGAGAACGATAGATAGACACAGCAAGCACCACACGTCATGTAAAGGTAGTTTAGTTGCTTCATTGCTCATGTGCATCTCATCGTAGTATTATTGCTCTCTGCTGAGCTGTTCAACATCAGCACAAACACACACTCACATCAGCACAACGCCCCTCGTACACGTGTGCGCTCTACCACAGGGATCACACACATCAGCTGGGGCTTATGGGTCCACCAGGACACTGAAGCAAACGGCACAGATGCTTGCTTACATCTCAGCATATGCTTTTAAAACTCAGGTTTATCTGCATGACAGCCCTGTCCTGCAGGTCATTAGATGGACCAGCACCTGATTGTCCAAGAGCATGAGGTCAGCAAAACAGGTTTAGGTTCCTATAATGATCTCAAATGTTTCAGACAGCACACACACCACTGAAAAATAACACTGAGAAAGTACTTTTTATCAGAAAATATTTAAATAAATTAGGAAAAGCTATTATTTTACTTAAAAGGATCCACCTGCTTGTGTAAAGCTCATTAAAAAATGGAAGTAATGGATGTCTTTTAGTCTTTTCCTCAAATGAGTAAATTAACAAAAGGTGTAAAATCATAAAAACAAAAGGTGTAATATACAAGTACAAAAATAATTTTACACAAAACTATTTTCTTGCGTGTCACAGTTTGAAAACCACTGCTATAGGTGGAAATAAGAGTATTAAGTTTTAGAAAACCCACAAGAGCTTCAGTGATGTGAAAAACCAATGACCAGATAACTCAAAAACCCTATGTTGAATGTAAGTCACAAATTCTTACGGTGAATGTGTTGAATCTTACACAGAGATGCAAATTTGTACATTTTTGCATTGTAAGAAAATGCAAATCACTTTTCATTGCAATAACAAGTCGACTATTAAATAATGTACAATTATATATTAAATAATCGGATGTTATGGAATGTGACTGAAAGCATGTGAAAATCAAGAAACATCCACAAAACTACAAAAAAAAAAAAAATCCACCAAAAATCTCTCTTGTGGCTAAAACATGAGATTTCTGCATGGAATGAAAACAAGTTTCGCAAAGCATTAAATTATGAATGAACGTAAAAAGCTGAGTTGGCAAATTTCAGATGTCGAGAGAAAGTAAATCAAACACAAACTCAGACTTGCACTGGAAGTAATTTTAAATCAATCGTAATGTCGTTTAGATCTGCAGCACTTAATGTCAGTGTTCATCTCTCGTCAGAGTAACACTAATTAATCGCCTCATATCAATAATCAATACGGTCCTCTCACACAGCTCTTTAAACTGATGTATGGATAACAGCTCAGCTAAAATATCCTTTCCATCCGAGTCATTCACGTTACCCAGGACGATAAAGTCTTAAAGCTTCAATTAAACTAGCAATCTCAATGCTTGAGCGTTAATTAAAATAACTAATTAAACTAATTACTATTAAAGGGATAGTTCACCCAAAAATGAAAATTCTGTCATTAATTACTCACCCTCATGTCGTTCCAAACCCGTAAGACCTTCGTTCATCTTCGGAACACAAATGAAGATATTTTTGATGAAATGTGAGAGCTCTCAGACCCTGCATAGACAGCAACACAACTGTAATGTTCCCAGGTCCAGAAACGTAGTAAGGACATCGGTAAAACAGTCCATGTGACATCAGTGGCTCAACTTCAGTTTTGCGAATCTACGATACTACTTTTTGAGTGCAAAGAAAACAAAAATAACAATTTTTTCAACAATTCTTCTCCCCCGAGCATTTTAGAGAGCATCACAATGCACACGCACGCTTTCCCCTAAGCGTAAACAACGCTGATTACACCGATTACGTTCATGTGCGCGCTTTCTCCTCCGAACGTAAACAATGGCGATTACGTCAATTACGCTCTTGGGTACTCTCCAAAATGGCAGAAGACATAACTCGGGGGAGAAGAATTGTTATTTTTGTTGCCTTTGCACTCAAAAAGTATCCTCGTAGCTTCGCAAAATTGAAGTTGAGCCACTGATGTCACATGGACTGTTTTACCGATGTCCTTACTACGTTTCTGGACCTGGGAACATTTCAGTTGTGTTGCTGTCTATGCAGGGTCTGAGAGCTCTCACATTTCATCAAAAATATCTTAATTTGTGTTCCGAAGATGAACGAAGGTCTTATGGGTTTGGAACGACATGAGGGTGAGTAATTAATGACAGAATTTTCATTTTGGGGTGAACTATCCCTTTAAATGCTCAGGGTCAATCAAAAGTTAACACTGCACTACAAAACTGCAATTTTGACAAATCCACTCAAAATATAACCAACTGTACACATTTGGAGAAAAAAAAAGTGCTTTTAAAAAAAAAAAAAAAAGGTTACAGCATCTATATCGGGGGGGGGGGGGG